AAGATAAAAAATCATTTATTTTACCCTACTTATCCAAAAGCAAGAGGACTTTCAAACAAAACATGAAAGTTTATCAAAAAATGTATATATCTTTTTAAATAATAAATTGAACATTTTTTTATATTTAATCAATTTTTTTAAACTAATTTTTAAAATATCAATACTAAAATAAATAACAAAACATATATCGATAAAAAAAATAAAAAAAGAAACAAAACAACCCACTCACACATTCATGACTGATGAAACAAAATACTATGACAACAACATGAAACTATTTTAAATCATAAATAAAAAATCAAAAAATGGGAACTCAATTCAAGTGACACATACGAGACACTACACAAACAAAAAAAAAAAAAAAAACAACAAAAAGAAAAAAAAAAAAAAAAAACAAAATCAAAATAAAAAAACATACAAAACAAAAAAAAAACCACCATAAAAAAACAAACTATAATTACAAGAAAAAACAAACCTACAAAAAATAAAAACTAACCTTTACATAAATAAAAAAATGAAAAATAGACTAAAAAAACTAAACAAAAAAGCATAAAAACTTAACTAAAAACAATAATAAAAAAAAAAACAAAAAAATCAAATACTACTTATCACACATAATAACAAAAAACATCAAAAAATGGAAAATTGAATAAATGCATAAACAATTGTACGAACCATACAGATTAGGAAACCCTCAAAAAACAACCGAAAAGTCTGCTCTCAACACGATCACTCAACTCTTAAACGTAATGCCTCCGCATCGTACTGAAAAGACTAACATCCCATTTGTACTTCCACAACTGGATATAAAACGCCTATCGCCTTCTAACCTAAAGAAAACTCCGTTGAGACTCAAATGCATTTTGATCTACTTGCATCAATTTTCACAGAACAGTCGCTGTTTATTAAAACTAACAGCCAGATACCTTAAATCTATACCTCAGAAAGCAAGTAACAATGAACGTAGCACACAGTATTGTAGTAACTTATAAAATCAAATTCCTTACAAACAACTCGTTTAAAGGCCTCTCTTATTAGTACTGAGCAAAATTTTCAACAATAAAATTAGAGCCCGAAAGGATAAAACAGTAACCAACTGACTTTGAGTCAGAACACGGCAAATAACCTACAGGCCATAATATATTTATTAATAAGTTATAACTTACTGGAACTGTATTTTTGTTTACTTATCATTTTTTTGGTATTTTAAACTAATTCTCTTTTTTTTAGCATCTAAATAATAGAGAGTTTACTTCTTCTACAGGAAATTATTTTGTTTTTATATGCAAATTTTATTTTAGTCAACCTCTGCCATGGTTTGTCAACATTTTCGCTTTTTTCCCCTAAATTGTAGATGAAGCTACATCCAACACCTTATTTAAATGACTCTAAAAATAAAAAAAAAATTAAATGATAAAAAACGACAAAATTTGACACTTTCTACGGACCTTGAAAAAAAAAAAAAATAATTGGAGCTAAATAGAACAATAACCGAACTGAAGAGGTACAATAATCTTTAGAAGAAACGACAAAGAAATTCCAAAAATAAATTAAATAGAAAAACAAAAAAAAAAAACTATTACCTAAAGGGAAATTCTGGAATTATGAAATACAAAAGTTTAATTATTATATGAGCATCCCAGAATAACGGAGAAAAAAAAAAAAAAAGGCCCTTAATCAGATACTATTGATCTAGACGTCTCCTGTTTCATTATTCCTCTTCGGTGTCTATCCGTCTCGTGTTATGCTTAGCATTGTTTGAGATGTTCGAAGATCAAGACAAAAGATGACTATTCTTAAGGAAGATACAGATCTATTTAACATAACTCTTGAGGCTCACATGTGTTTTTATGTAGCTATTGTTTTTATTTTATTAAGAAATAGGTATTATACAGTCAATTTAAGAAGTCCCTAACTTTATAAAATAGATGTTCAAGATTTCCAAAGGTGTACAATTGCTAGAAATTTCACTGTTGTTTCTGAAAAAATATAAACTCCCTCAAAAACATATCCATAAATAGAAAGGTATTACTCAAATATTTTTGTATCTCTCTAAGTGAATTGCTTAAAGAGGTTTTGGTTTTAATACAAATTTATTGACTTTTAAGTGTATTTAATTGAACATGAATTTTAATTTAAGCGTTAAAAAATGATTAAAATAGTGAACAAAAAACAACCCATAAAAAAGTATAACAATTGTATGATAAATTAGCTAAACCTCAAGATAGTTTTAGCTCTCCGAAATCCGTCTGTTTGGGCGATAAGTTAGGAAAATGTAATAATAATGATTTTATTTCATTCAAAAAACACCTTTCTTGATGTGTTTATCTTTTTTTACTTTCTTTTGAGATTTAGATAGATAATCTTTAGCATTATTTATATATATAAAAAAATAGAAATAAATTACCATACTACAGAGAAATCGTTGAGTGTGCCATTGTCTACACCACACAGTAACAACTTTTGACGACAGGATATTACAAAATTCTGATGAACTTACATAAGTAGTTTCACAAAAAATATGTAAGTTTATACAAGTTCGTATGATGTAATTCTTTCTGATTACATTTCATTTTGTCATCATTTTCTCAATTATCAAAACAAAATAAAAAAAAACAAAAGGACAATTGATGGAACGCAAATTGACTATATTGTTGACAACTAAGCTATATCACAAGGTTTATGGGTAATATAGAAACGTGGTGCATAATATCTTCAGTCTAAAGTTTATGTTCTTCTGTTATTACTAATTTACTATCTGTCGCTTAAAATCACTATATTTTATAGATTGCTTAATTGATCATACATTAAAGCATAATGGAAAAATTTATGAAATACAAGATGTTAGCGGGATTAAAAAAAAAAAAAGAGATCACAAGATCAGAATTCCATTAGATTATTAATGTAGAAGGAAAAAAGGTCCACTTAATTGAATTTAATTAACACTGGTTTACCAAATTAGCGTCAAAAGCCATGAAGAAGACATCACAACAACCCCTATTCATGTTCACATGTCGTGTAACTTAAACAAGAAAAATAGAGAGAATAAGAAAAAAAGAAGAGAAAAAAAGGTAAACCAAGAAAAAGAGTCCAAACACAACATCTTGGGTTAATACTACCGACTAAAACAAAAACAAGTATGATTAGGAGGCTCGATGCATCATCAATATGATCATACTTTTGATTTCATACAAATTGTGTGGCTAAAGGTCCTACTTACCTTATATTATGTGTTGCCAAAATCGCACCTGTGTGGATCGGTCATACTAAAACGTACGGAAGGCTCTTTTGGACCACAACGAAAGTCATAAAGATCACCATTATATAAACAAAATCAATGATCTAATCCATTCTAAATCCATCACAAATAGCTTGTGAGTTGATAAGAAAAAAATCCATAAACACATTATCTAATCAAAATACATGAATCTAATCCAAATTGCGCAAGCATAAAACAAGGAAATAATTAAAATGCATACGTGTTCTGCCCAAGTGAGCTCTGAGGGCCAGCACCTGCATAATGTCAGGCACTCACCACCGGCACTCTCAATCCTGTAGCTCTCGCTGTCTCTGTTGAAACCTCAGTGCAGTCACTTCAAGGAGGAACTTCATGGCCTAATGTCATCAGTAATGGTACCAACAACGACGGCATCATCTTTCCCCTGGTACAAAACCAGTAGCAATGATTAAACAATTATATCCACAAAAACACTATTTTAGAGTATACAATTGATTCTAAAAAATAAATAACAATACATTCATGTAATTTCATTCTAAAGCTCTCGTTGAACAGCAAAGAGAATTATGTTTAGAAACAAATGGTCAAGAAATGGCACAATCTTTCTATAACGGAAATGAAGCAACTTGGAAAAGCATTTTGAATCATTTTTCCACTTTCTGTCCATGACAGATTCACAAT